CTTTCTGAGTACGAGCAAAAAAAAGCTGGAATGGATAGAACGACATGGCAGGTTGGTGTACAATCTAAAATCGTCAATCATACTCCAGAGCATTTCAGCTTTCATTCCCAGCTTCATTCCCTTATGAGGATCAGTGTCGAAGCTCCAAGCAAATTGAAAAGTTGCGATAGGAGTGTATTTGTGATGTTGCCATCAATAATTATCTACTGATTCATTAGTGGCTGTTTGTAGTACTCGATATAAGACTAGTAACTACTCAATCTCAGTGCTGAGAAGGGAAAGGCTTACGACAGGCACTAGCAAGACATTTCAACTACAACGCAAAAAGAATGAGAGCCTGCCGTAAGGTGGGCGAACTCATTTTTAAGGAATAGCATAAATATGGCACAAAAAGTCGAGTCTCACTCACTTAATGGGGCCAATTGTGAAGGACGATTTCTCTGATAACTGCAACAGCATTGTAAGGCTCTACACACTCATATTACAATTACACTCATTATATTGTTATAACAATGCTCATATTTTCTGAGAACAATTCAAACAAAGGGAAATCGAACAGCCCTCGAAGTTCATACGCCTCTTGACTGGTCCAAACCGCGAACCTCAACAGCATCACAATTCAAATCAACAATCACTCAGTAGAAATCCTGTGAGATACGAAACGTCAAAGAGACACAACAAATGAGTCATCTCATGGTCAGATTAGAACCAGCAACATCTTTTCTCAATAGCTCCTAACGCCACAAGAAAAAAGACAAGTCCGAAGCTCACATCTGTGGGCCTTGAATGGGCTGAAGATTACATGAAAGAGCATCAAAATATTGCATGTATGTAATACCAGTTTACTTTTTTTTCAGTTTCGACTCCAATTTTTGGTTGCTTCGCTGATTTTCGCGGCGTTCTGCAGCTATGGTTTGCGATGGATCGGAGAACTGGTTGGTAAAAAACGCTTTGCAATTTGTGCTTATTGTCAGCTCGCAACTTTCAAGACATTCGACAGCGTTGTCGATGACGCCTAAGTTTTGAATTGACCTACATGTAAACTACCCTTCCTTGGTTGGTCTCCACTTAAGTCATCGCTCACCCTTGTGAAGCTGGTTTTTTAGTTGGGGACTTCACAGTTGCCTTCTTGAACCGTTTCGTCTAATTCACAATTTGAATTCATTCTTATTCCTTTCTAACGAACGGTCATTTTCTGCGGCATCCTACATAGGAGTAGACACTATGTGATTTTACAACGGCCATTAATGCACTTTATGTAAACGTGATGTGTGGGGGTGCAGTGACGTACTATGTATCTCACCAACACGGTCCACGGTCCGCGTCTCGGATCCAAATCCGCTTGGGGAACAGGGATCATTTCCATCCTCCCGGGATCGGGAGGATTGGTTCCAGTGTAGTCTAGGAGGTCGACATGAGCGACGGAAGTACGAGCAAGTATCTTCTACATGGGTGACCACCACAAGTCATTGCATAGGTCATATATGCCCTCAACCCGCCACTACGATTGTGAAAGGAAGTTGAATGCATGGGCGCATCTCTCAGACGGGATTGAATATCTTATTATATCTTAATCTCAATATCTTAATATTGAATATCTTAATATTGAATACCAAGGGCTTTATCTTTGTAAATGAGAAGCGAATCTGAATTGAAGTTGAGTGATGTTGCATATCATCCTATCTTTCATATGCGAGTGACCTGTATTCCTCTTTTGCAGAAACTTGTACTTTTCATACCGGATACTTTGCAATATCGACCCTCTTGCTGGCTAATGACCAACTCGGGTAGATTAGGTTGAGTTTCAGACTTGCTGATTAGGAGGTCAAGTCAACAAAAAACAGCAACAACTTGCAACTAGTTTTTCTTTGTTATTCAACACTTGGGTCACCCGGCTTACGCCGAACCTCATTTCTTAATTTTTGTGCGGAAAGGAGAGGTAGCGGACCTCCCGTGCTTAGAAACGGTCTAGGTGAAAGAACATAGTCTATAGTTTCAACTTAGGTCTCAGGAGGAGATAAGCGGAGGGGGGGGGGGGNGGGGGGGATGGGGAGGGAGAGAGAGAAGTTGTGAGATGATTACCAAAAAGCTAGGATGGGGTATGAGTTAAATATTTAAATCCGATACTCGGTGCTTCTTTCCTCATGAAGTGCGGATTAGAAAACTGTTTATTCTAGGCTAAAAAATGCCACTGAGCACAATTATAGGCTAACCTCTTTATCTGCGTTCTAGTGCTCAATGTTGAAAAAAAGCGGAGGTCTTCCAGCTACAAAATCATCTGCGATTTTTGTATGGACTTACATAGCAAGATGTTGGTACAGATCTAAATCAAGGTTTTGAAGCAATACCCACCCAACTCCATATTACTCACTTCGCTTCACATTACTCACTCTACTCCATTAACCTATCCACCAATTTACTCCTTTATATATTTAAAAAGGAAATGTGTAAGCTGGGCTTTCTATTTCACTACCTTTATCGTAATTATAAAGTTTGCGAACGAACACACCGAAACGCCGATATACCGACAAACACCCAAACCGACAAACCGGCACACCAAGTTACTGTTCTATAAATAGGAGATTGCAGAAACCACAGTAATATACCGCTTGGTTTGACTTCTGTTGAATATTTGATTACCGGGTTGTTCGATAAAATCCGCCTTTCTTTTTTTTTTGAACGTTTTTCCTCGAAAAGGGTTCGTTCAGTCTTCGCGACTTTCACAAACCAGACTATTCTCCCCAACTCATCGCTGAGCCGTTGTTACCGGAAGCCGGGAAGCCTCTCTTTCCCGTGACGTACAAATGCATATTAGGAACAGCTCTGAGAGCGTTAGTATCCCGAGCGAAGGGCGTAAAATGCCGAAAATGTTTCCATTTGATGGCTTAGCAATAAACATCGACAAACAAAGTAAAAGCTTTTGAGAGTCGTTTGGGGTGTAAAAAGCAGAAGCTAGGAAAAAAATCCCGTTTGGATAAGCCGCAATGGTTTCAAGGTTTAATGGGAAAACCACATAGGAGAAATCAGGATGATTTGTCGGTTAACTCAATAATGTAATCCATGGAAAGATAGATACAATTCTACGTGCATCGTTTAAGTTTCTCCTGTAAGATAGTGACTGAGTTGGTTGCCTGTATAGCTATTAGGTTGGAAGGAAAGTCCTGCAACACAATGAAAGTTTTTTTCAAATCATTTCTAAAATTTTCCAGGCCGATCCATTTTCGGAAATAATATAACGTATTTACCAAAGAGGTCCACAACCTTCTATTATCCTTAGGGCAAATCACTGATGCCTTTTATCCAGGAGTGAAGTAGCTGTGACTCAAAGAAGTGATTGACTGCCGTCTTCAGATCACATTAAGTTACGATTTTTTTTCCACAACGGTATACTCAAGAAGTAGGTAGGTAAAAGGGGCAACACCTAGGGAGTACGACTGATGAACAATCTCTAACCGATTGGAATCGTAGAACTTTTGACGCGTGTTTAAAGCGAAATTTCGACTTGCGCTGCCCCTCTAAAGGGACCTGATATACGGTTTCGATCGTCCTTCTCTAACCCTGTTGGCCAATTTTCGGGGTTCATAGGGGTAACCGATAGCTGTGCCTATCTAATCTGCGATTAGCAATTCATAGCGGATGGTTCCCTCCAACCGCCATTGAATTAAGGGACGATGCTTGCGTAACTTCGAAGGCTAGTATCTCCTCCAGTGAAGCGATCGAACCGATTGTTGACCGTTGATCGGTGAGCAGTGCCAGCATTGAATAGGTAGCACATAATTTTAGCCGCTACACCCGCGTTTTTTCCTTGGCGTGCTTAGTAGAAGGTGATGGTACGAAACGGGTGTTGTTCATTTATTGACCGTAATGCTGCTAAAGCCCACACGCGTGCCCTTATTTACTTATGTGTTGATCACCAGAGGAATGTCCTACAAGTTTATCACCCTTGCTACCGTGTTAACACTGTTGATACAAATTGCTGACGCTTCAAATTTTTTGTTGCAGGACTTTCCTTTCAACCTAATAATTTTCGCAAATTCGGGCTTCCACATCGCATGCGTGAAATTCAACCTGAATCATTACTATCTCTGAAGAAAAACATTCCGAAGAAAACAACTCAGAAAACCACCTTTTAAGTGACTGCAACGTGGTCTGAAAACCCAGAATTTTGTAAAGGAAATTTCGTTTCGAAATACTTGTGGTGCACCCGAATTTCAATAACAGTGATGCGAGTCAGTAAATGCGTTAATGCAGTGTACCATGTTACAGTGCACCAGCCAAATTTGAGACGGATTAAAAATGAAATGGAGTAGTTCATGATAAGGAAGTCACGGTGACGACCACCGCAGACATGCCCTGAAATTTAAACAAAATATATTCGGCGAGCTTGGCAGAATGGTCATGACGTAGGGCTTTAATGCTAAGTATTTCAACGCATGGAGCAACGAAATTCGAGCGCCGTCAACAGTAGGCAAATATTGTAAGATGTTGCATCATAAAAAAAAGTCACGTCCCACGAGCATTTTACTTTAAACACAAATAATCCTTAGAAGCGCTGACATCTGTCTGCTTGTTTCTCGAGATGCTTTTCTGTATATCTGACTGTGTGCCTATTTGTATATCTGGCTGTATGTTTATCTATGTCTGTCTGTCTGTCTGTCTGTCTCTCTGTCTGTCTGTCTGTCTGTCTTTCTGTCACGAAATACTGCATTACCCAGGGGAGCACCTGGCGAGGACGGGTCTAGATTAGGACGGTGAGGGCATAGGGCAAGAACCACAGAGCACATGTGAGCTCCGCGGAGCTTCAACCATGGGAGGCAAAAGTGTGTGGGAAGGAAAGGTGTTATCAGAATTTTCCTGTTTGTTCCACTAACAGCCAAGACACCTGGAAAAATTACCAAGGTAAGGAATGGTGCGATATATAAATTAAAGAGCACTCGTTGATGGTGAAAGGAGCGTATTCGTAGTGGGCATTGTTCCCCAAGTTGACTTCTTAAAGCCTTAGCGCCATACTCCTAGAGAACGGAGCTCAGTTTGAAATTCATGATTCGTTCAAAGCATTCTTTATTCTGATGTTAACCTTGTCTATCCCAACTGGTGAATTATATGGTTTAGACCACAAAGGATCCTCAATTCGTGTTCTCGCCGAGAAATGCTCCATGGAGATACGAAAGTGCGGTGCGTTCCAAAGTTTGCAAGAACCGATTCAGGATTTTTCCTTGTTTCTTCCAGAGAGTGACTTTGAATAGGCCGTCTCAATTCGGTTTGACACAATATGCTTATATCCTGCTTGAACCCTTATCGATTCCTAAGCCAATCAATGAAAGGTGTCCCTAGTCTCTTTGAAGCCTTTCTAGAATAATGAAGCTGTAAAACTATTTTCTTCGCTTAAATCAATCTGCAAAGGGAGTTCGATTGAAAACTTTTGTAGAAACACCCCTGAATAGTTTTGCAATACCATTTCCATGTTTTTTGTCTCAAGCCCAGTGTAATGTGCTCAATAGAGACATTGATATCCAAATCTGCCCCCCGACAAAGCCAATATTCATTGGCTAGAAAAGCTTAATAGCTCGTTCAGGTGCTGTCAGAACATTGGCCATTAGACGAGCAAAGGTTTTGGCCTGGGAAGAGCTACGATCTCAAAGGATATATGGACATCATTGGCAAGTGTCTTTGTTTTCATTTAACGGCTTTTTTCCTGATATTTCGTTTGCAGTCGCTGGCAAGGAGCATCCTCGGTATGGTCGGCCGAATATCCTTACTCTGCAATATCTGGACGAAGTTGCACGTATTAACCAGTATATAATTCACAATATTACTGTGCCAGTCGACATTGACGGAAAGCACTACGAGGTAAGTCACACGAGTGATTGTAAAACTTAACCTTCTCTGGGAAATTGTGCGTGGCTCCTTGTTTTACATCTTGGTAAGCTGACAGGCTCACTGGATAGAACGACTTGAAAATGGACCGGAGCAAAATGGCAGATGAAATCAAGTCTATTTCAACTTCGTCTTTAGCTTCTAGATGATTGGAACAGCCCTCAGAGCTCAACAATGCGTGTTCAAACTTCCTACGCGGTTTTCTGGTGGAACATCTCAAAACAAAAAACATTATAAAGTGATGTTCACAATAGTCCCCATTTACCGGCTCATGTTCTTCTGCTGAAATGGGGTCTAGCTGACCAAATTTGAGTTCATACTGAATTATTTTTCGTTGTTATGAATGTTCACCGTGAATGATGGTATAAGTAAAGGGTACATGCATACTGGAATGGGTGTCTGAGTTCCTGACGAGACAATAAGATGGGTTTTGCACGAAAGGTACGCTTGTGCTAGGGTAGTACAAGACCGATTCGAACGGTGCTACTCATTCCAGTACTCCTTTTTCCATTTCTCCTTTGAACGGATCGTTGCTGAAGCAGCGGAAGGTACACCTTGTATTAATAATGTAGACTAGAATTAGGGTATGCAACTTCATCACCGAAATAGATCGCTTAGCGCTTCAGCTCAATCTCCTGTGGTAATCTCGCTGCACTTGGTAAGTGCTCATAGCTGCCAAATTGGCTGAATTCATATCATTCAGTGAATAGAAAACTCTGTTACATTTCAAAATATGAGTCAAATAATTCAAATTTCAAAATTTAGAAGGAAAAAGAAAAAAATTTTCGTGAGCATAAAATACGCAACACTGTGAACCATCAAAATCAAATAGGTAGTATATTAGGAAAGAACTCATAACAATCATGACGATTACACGTTGGTTGTGGCGATATGACTTGGATTTTTTACACTTGCCTTCTTCTTTTGATACACAGAATTGGTATTGGATAAGCTGACATTGTAATTGTAACTGACTGTTTTTACTGAATGCTTCCTTGAAGGAGTGAACAAGAAACTTCCTCGCTACTTGAACCCGCTAAACCAGCCTGAAGGCAGAGCATGATTTCAATGTGTTCACTCCCAATGAACCATTCTTAGAATTAAACGTCCCTCCTCCTCCGACAAAAGCTACTCGTACCATGCGCCCTGTTAATATCCGGTTAACCTAAGGCTGAATTTGAACTTCCTTGAAAAGCTCTCAGTAAGTGGCTTGTTCTTGGTAATGGCTCGACTCATGGATACAAATTCCATTTAAAAAAAAGCTGGTTGAATGCATACCTGAAGGAAGGGCGAGTATTAAGGAGTCAAAACACAGCTCATGGAAGAATAAATGAGGTGCTCTGGTAGTTCGGTGTATTGTTTAACACGGCAACACCTTTGTTGAGTGCCACCATAAAGGGCAAAGCCTCTGAATGGCTCTGGATGAATCGTTCCCCGGCGAATATATATTTCTGATGTTGTCTTTCAGGCTGCTTACACTGATCTCTGTATGTCGTACGATTGGGCTTGTTACCATAATGATCATCTTACGATGCTGATGCCCAAAACTCGTTGGGGTAATTTCAGTGGTCCTATCGCTGAATTTGCTAGCGACATCATCAACAATGAGGTATGCTGAAGTTGTATAGAAGATGACCACTTGAGTCTTCTTACCAGTGGATACCGCCCTAGAACGGTGCAATCAACTTGTGCTTGTAGTGAGGAGATATTAAATGATGAGTGAGATTCTGAATAGAGCAATGACTCTGGCTGTCCATCAGAAGACAAGCGTGTCGTCGTACTTACTTCTATTATTTTAGCGATTAGGTGTAGTAAAATATGACCGAATTACTTCCTTTTTATGATTATTGGATTATTGCTTACCCTTTGCCTCCTTACAAGTGAAATTGCTCTCCGCTCCCCCATCAATCCAGCATTTTATTTTATGAGCCCCATTTCTTATGCTGTGTGGTTTCATTTGTTCTTGAAGCCAGTTCCTTCTTTTAAAGACTAAGCATAAAAGCATCCCTTCCGAACCTATAGTATTTGAAGTACTGCTCAATTGATTACCCAGAACTGCAGCAATCGTACGCAATATCAGCTAATAGATAATGACGTTTTACAAAAGCGATAAAGAAGAAGGAAATCTCAAAAGATAGTGTCGCGGCTTGTCTAATTTTAAGATTTATGTGTTGACTTTGTTCTCCGAATTTTTGAATTATTTCCTGCAAAACTCGCTCACGTATGGAGTTTCTATGCAATGTTTGTCACATTCTTCCCATCTTACAGGTCAACATTACGTATCCTATAGGATGGAGAGGATCAGAACCAATCTACTTCGGAGCTCTCGTGGGTCGACCTCACCTAGTAGACCGAGAAGGTCACTTTGACCATGCAATTGCTCTTCGACTCACGTACAACGTACGAGAAGAAAAGGTATGTATTTTGGAGCTGTTCTATCTATTCTTGAGATTCGCGCCTCAGAGTTAGACAGATCTATAGCAGCATTCTTGTGCTTTAGTTTCGACATGCACAAAGACACTTCTCTTTTGGAGCTTTGGCCTCACCCAGCGCTCGGCAAATTCATGCAGTAAATAAAGCGGCTCCAGCTAGAAGAATGTGCGAAGAAAACGCTCCAAGCGGCACCACAGTTGCGCCAAATTTTTCATTTTATTTGTTGACGGACAGCAGTGAGGCAGAAGGGTTTTTGTCGCATCCATCTCCAATTCACAAATTCAGCTCGCGACTTTGTATAAGAAGTATATGAAGGTGATAGTATGCTATATAGAACTCACCTGAAAGTTTGAAATTTCTTAGTAAAGGTATGTATTTTGGAGCTGTACCTCTTCCATGAGTAACTTCTCAAAAAGACATTCAGAAGGTAGCGTATACTTTTCTTCCCATGGCTGTAGTGATCATTTATAAGCGTAATTCTTTTTACGGTATAGTGGTATTTCAGGTAGGCAATATTAGCCACATATGGAGGAAAAAAGTAGCTGCATGGTTGACCAGCAAAACACAACCTCCCTCTGGTATGTACCTACGGCTTTAGATCATATCGTGATCTTTAAGAAACTTCGTGGTTTGCTCAATACATAAGTGAGGTTCAAGATCTGGTGGAATTTGGCGTTACTCATAACGAATCACTGCCGGAAGGATTGCAAGACGTTGCAGACACCTTGACGCCTAAGTTCGTTGGTAAGTTGTGGACAGTTTCTTCATAGATGAAACAACCTTCCCTTACGATTCGTTCCAGGGACATGTACCATTTTATTCACCTTTTGCTTCATGGTATCAGTAGTTCTGATCAAGCATGGAAATGGACTGATTGGAATCGACTGGGTCCGCAGTAAACCTATTGTTGCATGTGCAGGTTGGATATTTAGGATATAGCAGCAGCAAAATAGTGTCAGACTGGTGGAAACTGTTCTTCCAGCATAGAACTCACGCCACAAATAAAAGCTACGTCTGCACTATATACTACTCTTCCAAAAACTTCCGAAAATATTTTGTGAACAACTCGCCTCACATCTCTGGAATCTGCCATTGAAGGCACCGTTCGCAATAAATTTAGGGTATCCTTTTTTGACGGAAATTGATAGAACTTCTCTAGAATAAAGCGATAACAACGAAAAAAGCGCAAAAAACGATGAACAAAAAGAATTACAAAGGGTCAAAAAAAGCTGGAAAGGGGGGTTGGACGAGTTTCACATTGAAAGAACGGCTGTTAGGGAGTGTTCGGGTGAGTGCACGAACGCGACGCAGTGTCTGCAATAGCAGACAACACACCCAAAAAGCTGATTGAACCTGGCAATTTGCCAACCAGCTTATCGACGTTTCACCAACTTCGCTCCCATGCAAATGTGGTGAAGGACAATTAGAACTCGTAGTCAGCCTAGCGAGGGGCGGAGGCCTTCCGTCCCCCACTGTTCCTGCCCTTATTGTGCCCTATTCAGACCGTTTTCCGACCTCATTCCTGTACAAATGGTATCAGAGGGGCGTCGAATTCAAACCATGTGTAAATCTTCGAAACCATTTTTTCGTGAACAGTGCCTTTAAGGTGGCTGTTAAGTTAAGATGCGCATGGTTTTTACGATTGTAATTAGCTCTCCAAACTATGTTTTTCTGGTATTCCGCTAATGCTAATACGCTCCTAAGTAACCTACCTAAGTAACTGAGGTTTTGGTCAGGATGAGATTTAAAATCTAGCAGACAGACTTGAACAAGTGAGTAGAAGTGTAGAACTTTCGACCGCACCCTATTCTCATTCGCTATTCGCCCAAGGAAGTGTGCGACTTTCACTGTAACTTGTGCGATAATGGAATAAAATCTTCGGCCTTGATCAATCTCGTTTCTGAGATGCGCCCTCTCTTTAATTTCCATTCAGATTCGTATGACCTTCTGAATGCCTTGTATAATGACTTGCAGTGGTCAGCCAATACTTTTATCCTCCTAACGACTTTAATAACGACCCACTGACCCGAGTTGGATCCACAGAATATGCATATGGAGGGACCACATGCAACTGCGCCATATCGATAACTTAGTCACGTTTGAATTCGTATTTGGCATAAAATCAAACAACTATGCAAAACACTGCTGTTTTCGTCGTTGCCCCAGCCCGCACAGTTGGTTCCACCAATGGCAAGAACACATGAAGAAATACTCCTCACGTTTTGGTGCATCTAAGTGAGGGCACAAATTAAAGAATGTCATTTACGACATATCGTGAAGTAGGCAAATTATTTGCTACCGCGGCAGCAGTACGTGAAAGAATTTAGCGCTCTGGCTCAATAGAAACATTCTAATAATTCGTATCTACGACAGCACGGCCATAACCGAGGAGCTTGAGGTCCAATATATTTTGAAATGTCGGTTTTAACGAATGTGGTACAGTGTTCTCGATGGATCAACTAAGTGATGCCTAGTCTGTGACATTACACAGCTCTTGGACTATAGAGAGATTCTATAGAAAGGATTCTAGTTCCTTTTTGATTTCGTAAAATTACTAGACAATGACTCCATAGATATAGTAGATTTCCAGGTATACTGTGTCCTCTACTAGCAGTTACAACTTCTTTCGGATTGCTGCTTTGGTGTGGCGAGCTCTACAATGCAATTGTTAATGTGTCGCCATTCCTCGTTCTCTGTGAGTTGAGCTCTTCCAATAAGGTCAATTAAATTTATTACTTGTAAAAAAAACAATGAAAAGGATCTGTGTGAGTAGCCAAGTATGGAAGTTTTTCGTTGACAGTTAAATCGGTTCGTGAAGGTCATACTGCCTCTCAGTAACTAAAGAATAAGCCCCATGACAATTAACGGTTGCTGTGACACCGTTTATGGATATTTCGATTCGTGAGGGACTAACTTGGGACCCGAAGTCGAGTCTCCACGACCACATGGGCAACATACGATAGGCGAAGGAGTTCAGTGGTGGAAAGCTTACTCAAATGATCGCGCGGAGAATTCGCTTCAAAAAACCATCTGCTTACCCATTTTTCAGCTGGCGAACAAAAAACAGAACGCAAATAGGAGTTAGGTTGAGGTTGTTTTTGAAGACAGACCCAGGTTGGAAAAATCAAGTTCGGGCGCTGCTTTCCTCATAAAGTAGGGGTGGTTGAAACGCGCAACTCGCATTCGTCTTGAATGGCTTCTGTATGGCAACGAAAACTGCAGCACGTGGCAAACGGAGATGCAGGGAGGCTTGACCTACGACGTTCGCTTTTGGTTGCCCGGGACAATGTTAGTTACGATAGACAGACTCCGTGGGATTCTTTGTGCAGTAACAAACTTTTGCTCTCTATGCGCATTTTTGACGAGCTTTTGTATTTGCGGTTGGTATCGAGATGAGCATCGCAATTAACATAATCGTCAGCAGAACCACAATCTCCAAAAGCTAACAACTGTAGACTTTTTGTTTTACCTTTCCGAAAGTACTCTAAAACAGGTATTGGTATTGACGACCTCTTTGTCATGTCGGCGGAATGGCATCGAACAAACCCAGATCATTCACCAGCTCGTCGCATTGCTGATACTCTTTCGGAAGCTGCTGTTGCCATCACAATCACATCTATCACTGATATTGTAAGCACTTGCCTCACTCTTGATTTGAATCTTAACAACAGCCTTACCCAGTGACAGTGAAAGATGTAAGCCAACAAATATTTACAGCAATACTTAAATATTCAAATTAAGATGACATTTGGCATTGGCATCCTCACAACACTTCCCGGTGTGCGAATGTTCTGTCTCTACACCTGCGTTCAGGTTACCTTCACCTACATTTATCAGGTAAATTCTTTAAGGTCAAAACGGCTGCCGTCTAGTTTTTTTTTTTGTCAGTGGCGCTCCAGCTAAGCTAGTCGGTGAATCAAAAAGAGACGTTCTCATCAAATGTCCGACCAGGTACTTGCTGAATGTGACACTTGCGCTTCCATTTTCAGATCACATTCTTCTCACCAGTTTTGGCTTATGCCGCTGAAATGGAAAATAACGGTACTCATGCTTTGTTATTGAAGAAAGCCATAGAACCGAATGAAACAGGTGAGAGTTCGTGGCTTTGTGCGCTGAAGTGGAATACTCGTTTGTAATGTAGTACTTGTCTAGGCTAGCTAAGCTTACGTGGAAGCACAGCGGAGGTACTACTAACGATCAACGGAAGGAAGTCCCCCTCTCTTTCGCTTCCTTCCCCCCCCCCCCCTCCATACCTACAGCTCCCTTTGTGACCCGATACGTCGATGCGGCTCTCTTCAGCCTATATTGAAGCTGAATTGGTCCGAAATGATGTTTAATAGAGTTGAATCTCCACTAGCTTTCGCTTCTAACCTCTGACGAAGGCGTCAAGGCTAGAACGTCAGTTGTATATTATTCCACTATCCTGATCAAGACTCTACAAACATATTTAAAATTTAGGTAGAAAGCGCTTATCAGCCAATGGCAGTGGTTACAAATTTTCTTGTACAGCGTTTCACCGCGTTATTCTGCCTTACTGTTTGCTTTTCATACTTCAGAGTCAAAGTGGAAACTATTCTTCATGGCCGGTTCGGTGTCCCGAAAATCACTGCAAAGTAATAGAGCACCGATGGCGGAGAAAATTCCAGGTGGGTTTGTTGTTGAGATCACCTACTGTCTATTTCAATTTTGTTGTTTAACGCATTATCGGCACACACATTATCCTTTTTTCTTTCCTTTACTTTACTTTCCTTTACTTAGCTTTATTTCCATTTTTTCGTCACCTTTTTTCTTGATTCACTGAATCACAACATAATGAGGCCGTCTACTGCGTGGTCCCAGGAAAACTTTTATTTTTAGAAATTTGAGTTTGCTACTATACCTGTGGTTCTTTGAGGAAATGACAGTTTGACATGAATTTTTCTCTGAAAGGAACTAGTACCGATGCAGGCATTTTTGCGCCTCTCTAGTACGAACTGTTCATTGAAAAACTACAAAAAAAAGGTATTTTCAAAAGAAATCGCCATTAACGATTCCTGGACATAATTGAGCTCATGCCTGCATCTGAAAAGCGAAAGTGCTTCCGCTCCTTCCGGTTTTTCTCCCAGAACTCGGTTGTCGTCGATGTGTTCTCGCTACTTCAACGGTCCATTGGAAAGTAGTATGTTTGAAAAAAAGATTTCCAGGAGGGAGCAGTCGCTCATTCGTGCATCATTGAAATTCACTTTGATTGTAATGATCGTGAATTGAAAGTGATTGATGGCAGAGTGGATTGTATCTATCGGCCAGTCGTAAAATTGACTTTCAAACTTGGGGAAAAACGGGAATTGGAAAAGCCACCAGCTACTCACTGTTACGAGAGAAGCGTTCATACATCTTCTTTTATTTCAAAGGATCCGTTCTACTCTATCTTGTTACGATGTCTCCCTAGAAACGATTTACTTCCCTCCAAGGTCTTGTATCGTCCTATCATGGAATGGGTTTTCTGAATCTTCCTCTTCGCCCTCGTTCGTTCTGTACCGGACGTTAAATAGAAAAAAAGAAAAAGTTCTACTTCTTTTTTCTCAGCGTTCTGCTGTTGTTGTGGAGTGAAATTCCCACCTTGGGAGTACAGCTTTCAGGTGATCTCAGAAGAGGGACTTCTCATCATCGAATGTTCATTGTAGAAACCATATTCTGGGCGGGATTCTGATGTCTAGGAGCTTTTCCTTTGTTTTGAAAAAATTTTTCGACAATTTCATATTCGTATAGCTTAATGGTGTTGACAAATTCTGAAACTCGTAATCATCCATATGTTCAGAGACTTCGAAAACGAAAGAGAGTAAGGGCTGGAAGTCCAAGTTGAGCGGAGCTTTGAAGAAGCTGGAAACTAAACTGGAGCATAACGAGAAGGTTCGATTGATCCAAGAATTTGCGATTTTGATGCAATCAATAATTAAATGATGAGATAATACTGAGGCATTGCTCAGCTTCAGATGAAAGGATTATACTTTTACAGCATTCTGAGCAGGTGCCGCATGAAGAAACATTCGTGAATAAGTTGTTCCGCGAGATAATCGGTCCTTTTCTTCTCGAGCGCAGCACGCAGGTTGTTCTTTCGTCGAACTTTCAGTGATGAACTGTTTAGACAATATTCCTTTTCAGGTATGCGCTGTTTTACTCTATATCCTCTATATTACGCTGGCAATTATGGGCTGTCTGAGTATCAAAGAGGGTCTTGACCCACGGTTTCTCGTGAGAGAATCTTTTTATCTCAGCAATTTCTACAAATTGATCTACGAAACATTCTGGTACGAGGGTAAGTTCTTTACTACAATTTTGGTTCATTTGAATGTAGCAGCGTAAAAATTAGTCTATTGCCTTTGAGCACTCCCTCAAAGAGCGCATCTGAGAAACAAGATGTACATATCTTCTTGTTAGGTTCGTCGGACTTTAACCAACCAGCTTTAGCAGTTCAGGGATTTACCGAGTGCAGCAGCTCATGTTTTGAATGAATTCCGCATATGTAGGGTTCCAGAGCTTCATTTAGACATTTATCCCACATTCGTGGCATTGCTCAAGAGGAATGTCAGTTCTGTGGGTGTCGGCGAAGAAAAATGATTCGCCTCAGTTATCTAACGTTGTACAATCCTTCGGTGTAATTGGGCCCGTGGATGGGAGAGAAGGTTAACCCTAGTTGTCCTCAGGTGTTATTCTCTCCAACCCCCTATGACTTCAAATGGTTACGCATTTACATGAACTCCTCCTGCCGTGTCTCTGCAAATAAGGAATGTCACAGCAGAGTAGAGGGGAGGTATGATTTAGCATGGAAAGCTTCAAATCGTTAGCTTGTGAACGATGTAAATAAGGGTCCCAAACTTAGTGTTCCATAATGTGTGAGTCAATCATCATTTGTATAATAAAAGTTGCACAACGGGAGCTATCATGACATAGGATAACGGAAATTGGTGCTGTGTAAAAGTGAACTTCGAGATGGATGCATCTCGTCTATAAAGTGGGAAGGATACTTTTTCTGGCAGTGATCAGTCCTACATACTTTGTGAGAAGCCCAGACATTGCTTTTCTATTTACAATTAAGGTGGCATTTAAAGGAGCACATAGCTTGTGGAAGACTCGAAGAACAGAGCC